TTTCGGCAGTTTTTCTGCTTTTTCCGAATTTTAAACAGACGATTTGTTTTGATTTCTGCTTATATTTTGAAAATACACTGTAATGGATTGATCGCTAATACAGGAGATTAATATTGTTTTATACGTATTGCAAATGATGAATATTAAATTTTGCGTGCCATTCGTAAATGTCAAAGTCTGAATTTTTTATTAAACATTTTTTTTCCACTTGAGGTTTCAGTGGCGAGAATTTTTACAATCGATGCTAGAGGTTAAGAGGCGCCAAGTCAGAAGTATCTCGCCATGAACCTCTAGTATGCTGGAGTAACTAGAACCCCTGATACTTGTGTCACAAATTTCACAATTTTAGACGAGACACCCATGCAATACTCTTGTACTTAGTTTATCTGGTATATACCTAGAAGCAGAGAAGAAGATTTTCAAAGAAAAAATACATGTACGTTTTCTTTACATAATAAACTGAGCCGCCCCTTCCCTCACCACCTGGAACCCCTGACCCTGAGCTAGGCCACAAATTTCTTAATTTTTTAAGAGGCACTCTTGCTCATCATAACATACATGTACATTTAGTTCATCTGCTAAATATACAAGAGGAGAAGATTTTAAAAGAATTTATGCATTTTCAGTATAATCATTGGAGCCCTCCCCTAACTCCAGAAACCTTGAATCTGGGGCCATGAATTTAACAATTTTGATAGAGGGTTTCATACTTATTACAATCATGCCAACAGTTTTACTGCTTGATATTCAGGAGTAAAAAAAACTTTTTAAAGACATGGGACCAAAGACACCACTAACTTTACCATGAAATTCACAAGTTTGGTACCCCTTCACTCATTGATGTTATATGCCATATTTGGTTGAAATTTGTTCTATGGTACAAGAGAAGAAGCTGAAAATGTTAAAAAGTTTACAACCAACGACCGACGCACAAAACACAGTCGCACGATGACGGAAGAAAACGGATATACAGTGTAACAATACATCTAGGTCACCTGAGTGACTCGGGTGACCTAACAAAGTGGGTCAAACTTGACCGATCATGCGTTTTCAACACTCAACTGCGAAGAATTTTTTTGAAGCTCTGAGCTACTTTTCCCAGGCCCGTAGGAAGCAATTTCAGTTTGGGGGGGGGGGGGGCACAGCCAAACATTTTTCAGTTGACAGTTGAGGGGGCACTACCAAAAATTTTCTGACAAGCAAAAAAAAAAAAAAAAAAAGGTCGTCAACTACCAAATATTCCTTGACAAGCAAAAAAAAAAAAAAAAAAAAAGGTCATCAGGCGGTTTTATTGAGGGGGCACATGCTTATAGTATCTATGTTTACTATAGTAATCTATATATCGGCAAAATTATTGGGGGGGCCCCCCCCGTGCCCCCCCCCCCGGTTCCTACGGCCATGTTTCCTCATTATAATTACACACGCACATACACAACCTGACGCACCCTCCCTCTCACACACAATGTACAGCCCGCCAAATGTTGTGCTATAAATTATCTCAAATTTGAAGGATGAATATCGGTATGACAAGTGCAGTGACATTGACATGACACTTCTCCTTGTGTATACTTCATACTACTTCCGGTAAATTACAAAGAGACACTTCTTTCGTACGTGTTGGTTTCCTTTATCAACAAAATTAAAAATTGCCCCGGTTTTATCTAAGGTTTTTCAAAAATTTGTTTATCATTACGTTTAAAGTGTAACGAGTGCTACACAGTTTCATATTTATGTTCGTGTGTTCATTCATTTCTGATTATCCCTAATGTGTTGTATTTTTTTTTTTACCATCCAATATTTGTTATATACTTTTTATTCAAAATAAAGAATACTTTAAGCTATAAATCCCACTTCATCTTCGGGGCATTAGATATTGTATACGCTACTGACTGTCGAATGATTCGAACAATGAGTGTGGCAAAAGTACAATTACATGTTAATGGTCGCACTTCAGAAAGTAAGTCATCTTACTCTGTATGTTTGGACTTCCAACAAGTAACGTTTATCAAAGAAATGGTTGAAATAATTGCTAATAAAGACGGCTAAGCGGAAAATATAATTTCAAAAATGTAACAAGAGAACTAGCATCTTCTAAATTTTATCTGATCAGCGTGGTGCATCGAACATTTAGGAAAAGATTTCACCAGTACTTCTTTTATATGTTCTTTAAAAAATCCACAGTGACCGATCTCGTAGTGTATTCAACGGCAGCACAATGCCCCGAGCTAATTGACGATTCCTGCCTCCACCTCCAGAAGAGTTCCGTTAAGTTAATTAAGCAATCGCGAAATCAAATGTTTATTGACTGAATGGACTAGGTCGTTACACTGTATTATACTCTGTTTACATCAACGCAATGCATGGTACAATTTGACAAAGTACAATTTGATAATGTACATGTAAGATTCATGATAGGAAAACACTAAATACCACATGATCGGCAAAGTATTCAGTAAATCTTAATCAAACCTAAATCACATATGTTCGTTATTATGTTGTAATTTTTAAATTTACTAGGTGGATGTAAATGCAACTTACAACATTATAACTAGTTATCATGTTGTAAATTTTGCATTTATATCCACCTAGTAAATTCAGAATTTACAACATTATGATAAAATGAAGAACGGCGATGGAAGAACATTATGTTCCCTGTAAATCTTTGGTATGGTACTCATCATTAACTTAGGTTATAATACCTGTCTCTTAAAGTAAAAGGTGAAATAATCAAAGATCATAATTGAGAGACCTCAGATTTCTACTTTAATACCGGTTTGACTAACTTGTAACAATTGCTGGATTGCCATTATTAGTGCAGACACTTAGAGTGGTGAATATGGATCAGAAACAGTGCATCATGATTAATCACAATGGGGCAAACTTATAGACGTGAAGTAAAATATGATATTCTATCATATTCTCATCAGCAATATTACTCTTTTTTTAACAATCAACATCTTCAAGGACAAAAGTAAAGATTAACTTTAAATGTGTTAATCTAACTTACCAAACAGTGATGTTTGGGGATATTGGTGAGAATACAATATGCTCAACAGAGTTTTTCCCCCCTCACCTGAACTGAAAGTTCAAGTCTGGCTTTTTTACATGTATATAATCCAGTTAGTGACAAACCTGCCCGGGCTTTATTGAGTAATAACTTTTTAACTTACCTGAACTTTAAGTTTCAGTGAGGTTTTTTTTTTTTTGGATTGTGTGCTATCTGTCATCTGTCTGTACGTCTGTTAACTTTTTTTTCCTTTGGCACAGAACAACTGCATTAAAATTTTCCTTGGGATTATTTAGGAAGGTAATAATGCTAACTGAAACATCTCGGCCCTGTCCTTCAGAAGATGTTTGCCTATTGTGGTTTTTATTAAAGCTCATAGGCAATACAAATTTAATTAATAATTTTAATTTTGTGTGGAAATAGACACATCTTACTTACCTAGCTGTCACTGCTCATGATAAAGCTTACCGTTTTGCGGTTGACCAGACGACATGCGTTCGATATTGAACGCTCGTATTCGGAATGTTTCGGGACATGTATACTAGTATACACGTACGTAATGCAAACTCAGCGTTCAATAAAATGCCAAGATATTGAACGCTTAAATTCTTTAGGCTTTTAGTGGGGTTTTTTAGGTGTAGACTATTTATTAGTTAGATAGTAAAATGATTTATATTTTGGCCTTGCTATTCTTGGAAAGATTTTTTTTGTAGATTCAAGTTTTTCAAATCATGGCCTCAACAGGTGGGGTTGGTCACAGAAGGAGATGAAAGCTTTTCAGGAGAATAATTATATAGGAAAAAAATTATTTAAAAATCTTTGATCAAAATCTCAGTTATTGATATTAATTAGCCATTAAGTAATCAAATAAATTACTCATATATATCATCATGCATTCTCAGGTATTGCAGATCGCAGTTCCACTTTTCCTGGATTCGAAATTCGACACTACTTTTCAGGGGAAAAAAATCCTGCCTTTCTGCTATTCCGCGACTAAATTTAAGTTGTGTCTCTTCCGTTAGCCGGTTAAAATCTTACCACAGTAACCCCGTTTGCATCAGTTGTAATTGTGGCTTTGCATACTTTTACTTTGCTGCATCGCGGTAAGAAACATCGCCATTTTTTAAAACATTGACTTTTCTATAGGTGCATGTACATTAAACATGTACAGAGGTTATTCCAAACTATTTCAGTATAAAAACAGTGTAATTTCTACCGACCAATGTGAACTGCAAAATCCATGCAATTTTTATCGCTCAGATCCGTAAATTCATAATAAGTACTAGTACAACGGACTAGAACTCTAGGAGGAAATACAGGAAAATAAAGGAGATAAAATGTTACTTACAGGAAAAAAATCGCAGAAATTCGCGGAAAAGCAGAAATGTGCTGAAATTAAAAAAATGATAATAATAATAAAAAAAAAAAAAGAGGGCGGCTTTACAGATTAGTTTTGTTCAAATCTTGGTCTGCAGATTGGTACTGTAGCATCACAAAGTAGAAAATTACATGTATGTCCACCCGGCCCACCCCTCACCCCAAGAATTCATTGCAGTAAATATTACACTGCATTAATATTATTTGCGCCTTCGGTTTTTGAGAAGTAAATAATACACCATTATTACCATAAAAAGTTTTGACGATTTATTGATTTAAATACAAATTTCCATCGTGACTAATTTGATTGAAACTCGTATAAATCCAGATCACAATTATCGAATAACATAATTTGGCAATTTGGTTGTAATTTCAGTGAATTAAACAATGTATGAAATCAGTGATGATAACAGGTTGTGTGACTGCTCGGATTGACTAAGGGAATGTCACACACAGATGTGTATGACACTAGCTGATATTAAAATTACAAAGAGAAATAAAGCGCATCTGTCTCAACCCTCGTCGTGTGCAAAATTTGCGCACAGGACCAGTAAAAATGTAAGTATATGTACAAGTTAGATGACCGCCTTGCTGAAAAAGGAAAGAGTTTAATATTTTCATGTAATGATTTGTCCTTTGGAATAATGTCCGTAATATCGTATGAAAAGAGAAAACACTGAGAGATGGTTTTATCTTTTTATTCTATGAAATTGGCGGACTTTATATAGGTAAATTTCACAAGGACAGAGTGACCAGATATGACGAAAATGAACTCAAATGACAGGTGGGTTTAAACTTTTTTTCTTTTTATTTATTTATTCAATTATTTTTTTATTTCATTTTCAAATTCTTGAAAAAAAAATTGCCTTACATTCTTCAAATGTCGGTTCTATTGAAGCCACTTAAAATCTGTTTTACAGAGAGGCACACAGTACATCGTTATCAATGGAAAGGGACAAAAAATACAAAAACTGAATTCTTAATTAAAATAGGTATTTTGTGTCTTTCTTTTTTAATTTGAAAATTTCTTTCAGAATGGAAATCTAACCCTCTACGGACAATAAAAAATTGTGTGCGTGTGTGTATGTGTTTCTAATTCTAGATTGCATCCTTTTATAATTACCAAATCAGTTTTGTAAACACAAACTTTTTTTTGAGAAGGGAAAAGATGACGAGGAGATGAAAGCTTTTAAGATTGATGTTGCATTGTATAAGTATCATTCTGCGAAAAGCAAATTTGAAAAAAAAAGTACCACAAACTGTTAATTTTTTGAGAAATTCAACAGTTCTCTCAATTCATTTTATAACATTTTCATGTAGTTGGCAAATTCCTCCGCCCTGTTCCGGTTGATTACTGTCAAGTCTGTCAATGAGTGGTCCGTACATGTACAATGTACATGTAGTAGTGTTAAATACTTTCTCTAGGCAAAAACAAAGGAAAAAGTCAATGCACGAATATATTACAAGGATGTTGAGATACATAACAATTATTTTTTAATCTTCTCTTTTTTATCTTGTAAGTCTTGAAAGATAACTCTTCATCGACTTTTTTCTCTCTCCTTCCCTATGTCACGAAAAGTTTCTTATGTAATACAAACAAAATTTATTCTAATGTTGCAGTATTGACAGAAACTCGATTTAGTCTAAACAATAGGTTTTTCCTTTAGTTTTTGATGATATACAAAGAGACACAATTACTGCCTGATGTGTTGTACTGATTTCTTTTAATATATCAATTTCTATTGGTTTGAACATATTTTATTGTTTAGATATTACAACAAAAGGATCGGACGCAAGTTCTTAAAACTTAGAGCGTCCTCTCCTTTATAACAATTAATTACACAAAATAATGTTAAAAAATTGAACTACACTGGAACCAAAGGTCAATATGATTATCTTACATAGGTTATGCATGTACAAAATTGATTTGATGTAGTATGTACAAATGAATCTAAATATATAAATTCAAAAAATACCAGATCTCTTAATAAACAATTGCACATTTAAAAATAAACTTTCATTTTCAGAAATGCTAATCGAATCATCTCCCCATAACAGTACGTGAGTGTCTACAATACGTTAATTAATCATTCTAAAAAAAGCGTTAAACAAATCGTTTCTTGGGACAGTGTATTTCGCACAAGAAAAAAAGTAATGATATGCGTGTTCTGTTTTCCACAAGTGCATAATGAACTGTCAATGATGTTGCACCTAAATAAATCTTTATTCAGAACGCACTTGTGTCTTAATCTAGTATGAATTACATTCCAGTAACGAGCACCAAAAGAAAAAAAGGCAGGAGTAGGTGTTTTTTGAGAGTTTATAAGTTTTTGAAGGAACCTATAGTGGTGGATTGTCTTGTTTCAAGAGGTAAAGAGTTCCATTCCCTTATTGCCATTGGGACAAAAGATGATTTATGAATGTTTAATCTATACACTTAGGGATGCAATAATTTTGTGATTGTCTTGTTACGTAATTTGATCCGTGTGATCGAATGTTTGGAAATATTTCTTTCAGATACTCGGGTACCATATTATGAAAAATTTTATACATAGTTGTTCTTACTTTGGACATTCTTCTAATAGCAAGTGGTTCCCATCCAGTTTCAAAATAGAGAGAATCTCGCGATGCCAAAGAAGTTAATCCAGTGACTATTCTTGCTGCTGCTAACTGTAATTTTTCTAGTTTTTCGGAATCTTGACTAGAACACCCACACCAAACTTCAGTTGCGTATTCTAACTGAGGTCTCATAAAAGTAGTATATAAAAGAGATAAAGTTTTAGCACTTACCCTGAACTGCAATTTTTTTTAAGTAGACCTAATTTTTTATATGCATTGGCAACGATAGAATCCATGTACGCTGACCATGTAAGGTCGTGTGAAAAGAGAATACCTAAGTGGTTGTGTGATGATACAAAATCTAAATAACAGTCCTGAAATTTAAGCCTTGGTAGATCGACATTTTTCTTAGTACTAAAAAAGATAGCTTTGGTTTTCGAAGGATTAAATTTCAATAGCCACTGTTTAGACCACTGTTCAAGTTGATTTAAATCATAATTCAATCCTACTTGAATATCATGTATATTTTCAGAACAGTTCTGTAAAGAATTATCATCAGCATACAACCTGCTTAAACTCGACTTATTTTCAGCAACATCATTGACATATATCAAAAATAAAAGTGGTCCCAATACAGACCCCTGAGGGACTCCAGCATGTAAAGGTTTAATATTAGACATAATATTCCTATGCAGTACCCTTTGTGTCCTTAAATCTAAATAACTTTGAAACCATAGCAATAATTTATCACTAACACCATAAGTTTGTAACTTAAATAGAAGACCTTTATGCCATACCCGATCAAATGCCGTAGACAAATCACAGAAAACCATACAACAGTGTTTTCCTTCATCTATAGCTTTACATGTAGCTATGTAGTCGTATGTCTCAATAAGCTGACAAACAGTTGAATGACCTGGTAAAAAACCAGCCTGATATTTATAAAAAAGATTTAAAAATGACTCGCTCCATAATTTTACCTACGCAGCTTAAAGGTGCTTAGACACAGATTTGAACTTAATATTTTCTCAAATTTTCTGTATAATACCGCGACTTATACATCGCAATAGCATTTCACACGAAAATATAATTACAAACTTATTTTATCTAGAAATTATTGGAACTACGAATTTCGGGACGCGTTTGATTAACACATCCTTGCACTTGCACAAATTTTAACTTTATCCTTAATATCTAAGAAAAGAAGCGATTTTGTTATGTATTAATGAAAAATATTACATCTATAATCCAGAAAATTCAGAGTAGTAATGTTCGAAAGCAAAACCAGCTCACCAGTATTTTCAATGCGTGCTCTGTGATGTGTACAGAGTTTAACAAAATGAACACACCCGTGAAACGTAAACTGTTTTTGTAAACAGGGCACGAGCTCTGTTATTGTTAATGTTTACGATTCACCGGGTGTGTTCAATTGTTAAACTCTGCACACACCACTGAGCGCGGACTTACAATACTGTGAGTGGGTTTTGTTTTCGAACATTTCTACTCTGAATTTTCTGGGTTATAGTTTTAATATTTTTCATTAATACACAACAAAATTGCCACTTTTCTTAAGTATTAAGAACAAAATCATAATATGTGAAAGCGCAAGGACGTGTCAATCCAACGCGTCCAGAAATTCAAAGTTTTAATAACTTCGAGATGAAATAAGATTTTTATTATATTTTAGTATGAAATGCTATAGCAACATATAAGTCATGAAATTATTCAGAAAATTTGAGAAAATATTAACTTCAAATCTGTGTCCAAGCACCTTTAATAATGATACAGGTCTATAATTTGATAATAATGATGGGTCACCTTTTTTAAATAAAGGAAGTACATTAGCTACTTTCCACTGTTTAGGAAATACACATTCTCTTAAAGATCTATTAAAACAGAATACACAAGGGAAATGAGACGCTAAAAATAGTAGCTTTTAACATTTTATGACTAATATTGTCAGGTCCTCTGGCCTTGTTTCTATATCAATAATAGGTAAAACCTCGATAGGTACACAAATTTTCATACGCAGCGTACTTAACAACGAACACGTACCTTACCTGCTTATAATTTTCAAGCTATTCTTAATTTTAAAACAAAGTACATGTACCATCATTTGTTCCTAGACAAAAATAAGCATACATTTCCAAAGGTTTTGAATGATATCAAATGATGGCAATCATTTCTTTATTCAAAGAAAATATATATAGAAAATACCAAATTACTTGTCGATTTACAGCCCCCCCCCCCCCCCCCCACTTTTCCAAACATATCCTTTTACTGTAGAAAATATTCGTTGAAAGGTTGCAGTATAGTCAATTAAGTCAGGGTAAATGTGGTAATGTAAAAATAAAATTTATTTGAGAAAAGAAGTTGAAACCTAACCCCCCACCCCCCACACACATACGAAATAGGATTTTGGAAAATATAAATTATTTACCCTTTTTTTTGCTTGTCTTTTTTTTTTTTCAAATAAGCAGTCAAATATATTTTTCTGCCCCCCCCCCCCCACTATTAAAAACGATACTACGTTGCTGTTATAGTTTTAGCTGGTACATGAATTTCCTCAAAATTTTATTTAGAAGAGGTGATAAACATCACTGTCCATTACACAAAAGTCGCCAGTTACCCAGGGAATAAGAAAATACAGTTCAAAACTATACGTTACGTATGTCCTTAAGTTTCTATACAAAAGAATTCCAGGACAATATCCATGTAATGATATTCTGTTCATGTCGATTGATCTACTGTTTATTTTCAGCATAACCATGAGTTTGAGAAAAGATTCAGCTGAGGGGACAGAAGAAAATAAAGATGACACTTGTAAGTACAATCATTTTTTTAAACATGTGAACTTGAGTCTGTCCAAGGAATAAGTAGTTAGGCAGATCTAATCTAATATATACGAAAGCCCAGAAGGTTCATCGAGATTTGAGTTTCGAAATACGAGATTCGAAATTCGAGTTTCGAGATTCAAGATCCAAACTAACCAATCAAAAGGCGGTTTAAGATTCAATTACTCCCCTTTGCTAACTTTTGATCTTCAAGAAATCGTTGAATATATTCAAACCGATGAGGTCATTTGATTAGATTACAATGCAAGATATCAGAACGAAATTAAAAAAAATATTAGGTTTTTGGTCTGCAAAATATGCTTAAATTTATATTAAAACTTTTTAAATATTATGATAGATTTATATCAAGAATATGTATATCGTGTTAACTACTTTGTTTACAGGTTTGATGTCATAATAATAAATATTGTTAATCGGATTTGGGGGGGGGGGGGGGTACGAAAGCCCAGAAGGCTCATTCGAGATTCGGGTTTCGAAATACGAGATTCGAAATTCGAGATTCAAGATCCAAACTAACCAATCAAAAGGCGGTTTAAGTTTCAATTACTCCTCTTTGCTAAGTTTTGACCTTCAAGAAATCGTTGAATATATTCAAACCTAAGAGGTCATTTGATTATATTACAATACAAGAAAGATTGTTATATATATCAGAACGAAATTAGAAAAAAATATTGGGTTTTTGGTCTGCAGAATATGCTTAAATGTATAGTATAACTTCTTAAACATTATAATAGATTTAAATCAAGAATATCTATATCGTATTATCTACTTTGTTTACAGGTTTGATGCCATGATGATAAATATTGTTAATCGGATTCAAGAGCAAAAGGGGGGGGGGGGGCGTATTGTAGTCGATGAGAATTATTAGTGTGCAATTAAACAAGTGACTAGCGATTAATAATAAATAGTAATACGGGTTTCAAAGTGGGTATATTTTGTAACAAGGTATTAGAAAGTGACCAGTGACTAATACGGGTTTAAGTGTGCAATAAAACAAGTAACTAGCGATTAATAATAATAAGTAATACGGGTTTCAAAGTGGATATAGTTTGTGACAAGGTATTAGAGAGTGACCAAGTATGTGAAACCAAGAGACAGCCCCTTAAGTACGGATGGATAAAATATACATGCTTAATAAAGATAATGATTTCTCTTTGTTCAGGCCCGTAGGAAATAATAAAACAAATCACTGTAAAGCCCCCCCCCCCCCCCAAAAAAAAAAACAACAACTGGGGGTTATCACAGCTATTAGACGTTATTTTTGAAAGGACACAAGCATAAAGTTGCTATTTTTTCTATAGTTTATTATATCGATAAAAAAATATGGGCAAAATAATTATATATTCGATAATTATTGATAAGGAAACCGCTCGGGTCTCGCAAGATACATAATCAATCAATACACAAGTTTCAATACATGATCTAATGGCCATAGAGGGAAAAAAAAGATATAAAAGTATTTAATAAAAAAAAATTATTTTAACAAAACAATGTATCCTCTTTACACCTTTAGGACATAGGCGCTTGGGTCAAGGATAATGTATATTTTCTATATAATGTATTGTCGAGGAAATTCGAACTATATTCGTAACATTTTTTTTTAAGCGCACAGTGGTAATTTTTATTTTTTTGTAAATCTTTCTGCTTGATATACACTAGACTGTCACAGAAATTTGATATTATGCACGTTTTAAGAATGACATATCCCAACTGTATATAAAAAAAGAAACGTTTTTATTAACACCAAATTTTCTATTTTAATAAAAATTTGTGGGAAGACACTACGATTAAGACAGGGAATAGAAATTAGGAAATACATGTATGTTTGGGTTAATAGGAAGTCAAACAAAAAACATTTTTGAAAATTATATTTAGATTATTCAGTAAAGAAGTTTCCATAATTACCAAGCACTGTGTAAGGATTTTAAAATTTCTCAATTTTATTAAGAGTGGTCATGAAGAGGGGCGTTTCCCGCCTTGCCTATCCGCAATTCGGCAATGATGCGCTTTAGGTGAAATCTGTGACTTCACATTAGCCTACACATTAGCAGAAAGGAATATACGCCACTGTTTCCCAATAGGAGAAATACATATTAAGAATTAAGTTTTCAATTACATGTACTTATTTTGGTCTAAGGCTTTGAATACTTGAATTATTAAATTAAAAATTATATTTACAATACAGACTGGAATTCATTTTATTCCATATTAAATAGTAGATGAGTCTAACTGCACAAATACACCCTTAAATGTAATGAAATGTATCCTTAATTAAATTACCGTGCAGTGTAAGGACGATCCTTAGTATTTCATATCTATAATAATTTACTCCCTCATCAGTGTGCTTATTAAATAATTTATCGACCTACTAATTTTGCAATTGAACGATAAGGCCATATAATATTCTATATACGTATCTATTGTTTTCTTTAATGAGGAAAATAAGATTTAATACATATTTTTCAAAACGTTACCCAAAGTTCATATTTATTTTGTTTTGAAACATATAAAAAAAATTTCTGGCATTATTATTTAAGCAAATGATCCATTTGTTATAAATATATTCAATGATTTCTTGATAGTCAAAACTTAACAAAGGGGAGTAATCGAATATTGAATCCGCCTTTTGATTGGTTAGTTTGGATCTTGAATCTCGAAACTCGAATACCGAATCTCGTATTTGGAAACTCGAATGAGCCTTCTGGGCTTTCGTAATTTTAAGAGGGTACATTTCCAGTAAAACACATGCATACGAAGTAAGTTCAGTCTCCAGCTAATCTCAGGCTTTTCTCCGAACCGAAGTTACAGACTGAGGTGATCCTTAATGCCCTGGACACTTAGAGTCGTGCCCATGCATGCTTCGAATGCTGATTTCCGACAAACATGCAAGGTCCATGTGTATATCACTTGCAGTCTTTATAGGGGTATTCAAATAAAAAACTTGACAAGTGCATCTATTTATACTGTAGTGCATAATCTGAATGATGCATCAGACCTATTATATTTGATGACCCAGCGAACCCAGTTTAACTCGTTTACAGTTTTTCACTCAAATAAATGACACTGGTGCATAAACAGATGCTTGTAATCTTACATGTACATTAAGTGAATGACCTAGTAGACTAACTAGTACATTTTACACTTGACTAAGTCGTCATACGAAAATCCAATAGGTCTGTGTCTGGCTTTTCGAAAGAAGAATATAAAATTATAAAAAAAAAAATAAAAAAAAAAATTTAAACATGCATTTTACATATTTGGATGCTTTGGTTCATGTATCAAAGGTTGTACCTGTCTTACCTGACCTAATCTGATAAACCTTTGTCAAGTGTTAAAAAGTTGAAATTCAATCGGATTTCGGCGCCATACTGCTGTGACGTCATATGCGACAGATAGAGAGATGAGAAACAGGTTAAATTACATGTTTACAGGTTTTTCGGATTTCTTTTTCTTACAGTTCAAACATATAAGGTTGAATATTCAACTTCATACAGACAAAATCAGTGATTTGGTCGTCAATAATGCAGAAAAAAAAGTTTGTATCGCGTACAGTTTAGTCAGTTGATCAGCCATTGTCGCTTATGACGTATCGTGGTCACGTGATCGCTATCTAATTGGTCAAATACTGTATATTTACGCCTGTTGTAACAAGCCAAATGTGCATATGAGCTGCATGTTCTCCATAATTTGTGTCTAATGTGAGACTGCATTTAACGTACACAAGATCATGCGCGGATCTAGAGGGGTGGGGTGGGGGTCGGGGGTCCAACTAAAAGTGGCCTTGGACCCCCCTAGAAGACGCGGATTTGAGTAAAGTGGTATGAAAAGTCATTATAGGTATGAAGCTTTAGAAGAGTCAAAGACTACCCCCCCCCCCCAGTGGCGGATTCAGGGGGGTTCGGGAAAAACCCCCCGCCCGATCAAAAAATTTTTTTTTTTACAAGTGTCATTTTAACAATATATTGCATAAATGCAACTCTATCCAAGCCCATTGTTTTACACAAAGAGGTGAAATATACAGTCACCATGCGAAATCCCTTTCCGCTTGAGCGCACACAATATACAGGTAATCAACAGTACTGTACATGCAGAGATCATGATAGTCCGTGCAGCTAGTGATGACGCAACGTCATACACAACAACCAAAACTGCACATAGTTATTACGGTTTTGTTTTGGCTAAAGTAATATTGTTTCGAGAATTTTCTTCTTTCTTCGATGATTGAATGTTACTTTATTGAACTACGTGAATAAACTGTGATTATTATTTAATAGAAAAAAAATTAATTAATGCATCAGGGACGTATACTAGTTGAAATACGTTGTGACCTGTACCAAAAAGCACATTGAAAGTATTCCTTTTGTAGATGGAAGTTACAATGCAATTTTAAAAAGCAAAAGATCTGCATTTTTTTTAAAATTACAGTTGAATGATGTTGAATAAAACCCAACTAACGGTTACAACTTTGTGTAATGAATTGTGGTAAAACTAATACGTATAAATTAGAGGTCCTGTCAAAACAAGAATTGGACACTTTTTTATTGATTGTTTTTCAAGACTTTTTTTTCAAACATTGGGCAGGTAAGTGGGTAAAAAAAAAATAGAATTAAAGAGTGCATTTAATTACCCCCCCCCCCCCAATGAATAAGCAATAATTCCAATTATTTTCCAAAATAATTTATATTTATTCTTCAATATGAAATATCATTATGTATATATATTGCAAATTATATGAACTGTATAGTCAAGTAGTTTAAAAGAGTAATTAGGGTCTCTACACAGAATTCGAATGTTCTAAGTGTTGGAAAATTGCACATCATGCAGTTGTATTTTGGTAGACAAAGCTTCACATGCGACAGTGTGTTGGACGTGCATTTTAAAATGAAGAATTGGATATTATATAGCAAATGGCGATATTTCTAATTTTATCAGATTTTACATTTAACTTTTTCTTTAGAAAAGTCTCAT